ACCCACCACCCTCAGAGCAGGAGCCAGGCCTGAGGGAAGCTGGGGACTGGTGTCCCCTGCTGGCAGACACCCCGACTTCACCCACATCTGCTGCATTTTCTGCCACATCCCTGCTGGACGGCCAGGTGGAGGCAGTGAGTGATGCCTGCTCCCCCTCCACTTGGACAAAGTCAATGTCAATGAACACGCATTCTCTCCATTTCACTGGCTTCCCAAATGTGCCCAGCTTATAAAGAGAAAGGACTGACATTCCCCTGGGTTTCGAATGTAGAGTGTTCGAGTGTTATCCCTTTTTTAAATTATTCCCTCAATATTATCCCCTTGGTTTTGTTTAACTGGTACTCACGGAACGTTTCTGGAATGGTCTGTTTAAAAAGAAAAGCAACTCACAAGGAACCAGCAGCAATACAACTCTGGCTCTGGTAAACCATCTACCTGGCTGACCTGTGTGGGGAGAGGACTGGGGAGGGGGAGGTCCAGATGGAATTTTTGTCTTTATCCATGTTGCTTGCTTTCTCTAGTCAAGAGGGGTCACAGGACGGCTAGGCGCTGAAAGGTGTCATGGGCTCGGCTAGTCAGACCAAGCTTTTCTGGCTGAGGAGTCACAGAAACAGGCCCACATACAGTTAACAGAACTTTATTGTTAAATCACAGAAACTTTAGTGCAAAACAAACATCACGAAGTCCATTCAACAGCAATTGTGCGCCCTGCAGGCTGTGCTTGCTGCCTTTTGGCACAGAAGTGAACAGACGCTTCAGTGACCAAATGGGCGGCAAGAGACAAGGCCCCAGACGGCATCCACCCCACACCCAGCGACCCCTCAGCATGTCGTCTTCCACCAGGAAGCCAGAAGCCTAGGAGCTTATCATCTACATGTATTTGAAAAGAAAGTTCAAAAAGAGCATCTACAAGACAGGGGGAGGGCCGCAGAGCTGATGCAGAGCCTCAACAGCAGGCGGGTAGGGGAGCAGGCACAACACGACCACCAAACACACACACACACACACACACACACACACACAGCCGGCACAACACGACCACCAAACACACACACACACACACACACACACAGGCCAGGCCTGCAGGGCCTCCATGCAGAGCTAGCAGGTTACATTCAGGCGATGTCCCCCTTCCCACCCAAACCCAGAGAACCCCGAACAAGGCATCACCAGGAAGAGACACAGGAAAGTTGGGTCAAGCGTCGACCCAGGGACAGCAAACCCTCCACCCCACCAGCATGCTTCAGTCATCTCTGTGCTGTTCCACAGGCAATTACATTATTGAAAAAGCCTAACTAACCTGAGCTTCTCAGCCTTCACATCCAACTGTCTTTGTGTTGCTGCTTTGCACAGCAGCCAACAGGCCCAGGAAGGGGAGAAGGCTCCTCCTTAGGGCAGGAGGCCCCAGAGCTCAGGCCCACGCCCCTGTCAGGGCTCAGGACAGGACCGCAGCCCAAAGGGTGGGCATCTTCCTGTCGAGAAGCTCCAGCTCACGCCAGCGGAAAGCCCTCTCCCCTCCTCCTCCAGCAGGCGTCATGCAAGGGCAGGCTCAAAGGCCTCCAGTGCCGGGCAACACCACCCAGCCAGCAGAGAAAAGGGACACTGAAGCAGCTACGTCAGTGGGGGCTAGCACATCCCACGAAGACAGCAATGCTACAACAGGGAGACAGAAATGGGAGAGGTGGTGGGGGCCTATTTTTATAACAAAGTCAAATAGATCTGTGCGTTCATTCCCCCAGACACACAAGTAGGAAAAGATGCCGTGGTTTCTTCAAGATGGAATATCCCTCCTAGTTCCACACATGACGTCTGCAGTGCTCGACAGCCTGGCAGGAGAGAAGGAACTGGGTTTAGGCTTCAGATGACAAACTCCATTCCTGGCCCATTAGCGTTATCGCCCATTACCCAAAATGAGACCCTAGGTCAGCTGATGGCACCAGAGGCTGAGGACCCAGGGCAGCATCTCATTTAAAACCAGGGAGCATGTGGCCATCAGTTTGGGGAACTCATAAGAGCCTAGGGCAGCGGATGCACAGGTCCACAGTGTTTTGCATATGAGCAGCCATGCAGGCAGGGCTCGGGTCTTCATCTGCTTACACCCAGCAACCTGCTGCAGGCTCAGAGAGCTGCCAAGACACAAACTTCTGGCCAGAGTCGGGCTATACCTCAGCTTGGGCCTTGAGAAGTGGACCCAGGGGCACCTTTACCCAGGACGGCTGCAGAACCAGTTCTACCCCTGACCATGCTGTAGGACAGGGCTGAGGGTGCAGGTGGGCTGGAGAGAGGATCTGAACGCTGGGTGGGTAGTGGGGGTGGGGGGGAGGGGGGCTGAACCTCCCCACAGTGGCCCAAGATGACACAATCTCCCCTGACATAGTCATAAGGAAATCCAGTGAGGAAGAAAAAGTTGCGCAAAGTAGCATTAAGTAACAGGGGCTGGGCCAAACAGGAAGGCAGCAAGGGTAACCCAACCAGTGGCTGCCCAGCCAGGTCAGTGCCATAGCACCCTGGGGCTGCTGGGCAGGGGCCAGTTCTCAGGCCCTAAGTGAAGCTTCAGGCCAGGCTCCAGCCAGGGTCATCATGCTGGGGGTAAGGGGTGGGGGACTTGGGCCAGGGTCTGGGCAAGATTTCCACAGGCATTGTGCAATCCCTGGAGTAACCTCGTGCAAATCTGACACTGTCACAGAGGAACTGAAGACAAAAGCAAGGGAGCAGGAACAAGAAATGCTGAAATATATCCACTCTCACCCTCCTCTACCTAAATATAACAGTGAAGTTGGCCCTGCCTTTGCTGGGTGGCCATAGATAAGCCTAGTTGCCTCTCTAGGCCTCAGTTTCTTCACCTGCATGAAAGCAGGATAGAGAGCTGATCACCAAGTTTCCACTAAAGAAGGATTCTCACATGGGCTCCCTACTGGCCAGGCAGGCTTGTGGGGCCGTCCACTGAGCTACTCACATTGCACTGGGCAGCTGTCTCCGTGTTCTGGCACCAGTAGCTTGGGCCCCAGACACACTTCTCAGTTCCCAAAAGGGGCTTATGGGCTGGGGGGCAGGCTCCAATTTTCTATATGGTGAGAAAAGGACAAAAGGGGAAGAATGAGAGCTGCCCAACTCACCTTTTTCAGAGCTAAGATAACAGCTTCCAGAAGCTGCTAGAATCAGGGCTCTGATATACTCTCTCAGAACTTCAGGGTCACCGAGGAAAGCGACAGGGCTCAGGGGCATGGCTCCCTGCCTTCTCGGCTCTCCCACGCTCCACCCCCAGAGACTGTGACCATGGTCAAAGTCTCAGGGGAACCCTTCCAGGTCACGCAGCTCCCCAGGACACCTCTGCCCACTCACTAAGCACACGAAGGAGGGGTCCATTATCTCCACCAGGATCTCTATCAGCACGGGCTCATACTGGCTCACAAATTCGTCACACTGGAAAGCAAAACAGGGATATGGTCCAGGTCTGGGGGTGGCCAGGCAGAGTGGAGACACACATGGCTGGGCCAGGCAATGGACACACTCTTCAACGAGAGCCCCTGACGGTCTCAGCCCAGTGGGCCCTCAGGCCTCCCTTCCCAGATCCCCACCCACACCAGGTGTCCCCAGCTCAATTCATCTCCCACAGTAGCTCCACTTGACCCAGCAATTCATCTCCAAGCAGAGCCTTACCTGGACTCCATGCCTAGAGACCGAAACCACTGGCTTTCCCTCAAAACTTCAACCAGGAGGCAGTGAGCTACCCTACCCTTGCATGCTCCCAGCAGGTCTGGAAACTCTGCTTCTGGTTAAGAAGCAGGACCTGGTAAGAAGCGTACCTGCTTCTGGTAAGGGTCAGGCAGGAAGCTGCAGCCCTTTTCGAGAGCAGCCAGGATCTCTTGCTTAGTGCTGTTTTTCTCCAGGTTGTGATCCAAATAGCCAACCAGCTTCTTGCACACCTCACAGAAGCCACCGTCCTTCTCCTGAGTCACGTGCACTACAAAGAGGGCACAGAGTTCAAGGTTATAGCAGGGCCCTCCCAGGCCCAAGTGGGCACACACCCCCACCACGCCCTGTGCTCACCAGTCAGTGCAGGCAGCCCCGTGCTGGAACAGAGGTGGAGCATGGTGCATACCAGCTCAGGGCTGGCCTCCTCAAAGAGGATGGACAGAATGGAGGCGCCGTACGTGTCCACCACCTCCTGGCACTCTTTCGACAAGGACGTGGGCAGCTTCGAGCACACTGTGTCCAAAGCATGGAGTATTTCTTCCTGAAACACACCAAGGGAGAAGACGGGCGAGGGTGGGAGAATTCGGAAAATACCAACAAGCCAGGAAATGAGCCCCCAGAAGACTACAGAGCCACAGGGCAGGGCAGCAGTGGCCTCCTCTATCCACGACTTGGGATGCACTGGGGGGGCCAGGGTCATAGCCTTCTGTAAGTGCATCCAGGCCATACATATTCCCAGGCTGGTGTCAAACACCAGCAAGGGCCGAATGCCTTCTTCCACCAGATTCTCCCACTGAGAGGCTCTGGTTCAGGGACAGGAGAGGCCTCCCTCTGCGGGGAGGACGGCATACCTCAGTCTTGTTGTTGGCCATCATCTTGACGAGCTCCTTCACCAGGTATTCACAAACCTCGCAGTACACACTGGCCTTCGCCGGGGCCATGTCCTTCTGTGGAAAGGACAGAAGGATAGCACTTCCACGTGGGGACTCAGGGCCCCAGTCCTGCCCCCCCAAAGAAGAAGGGACAGCAACCAGGGTGGATCAGCCACACTGAGGCCACTATCGACTGAACACAAAGTGACATGTGGCTTCCTCCCGACATCCAAGTTCAAGTCCCTACTAATTTTTATACAACAGGGAACCCATTCCTTTCCCCAGCCCTCGACCACCGGCCTCTCACGCAACCCCGCAAAATAAAACCCAGGAATTTATGTTTTAGAAGACAGAAACAGTCCCCCTCCCCACCCCGAAGAGCTTGCCCACATGATGTGTTAAGACAATCATTTCATCATTCGGTGCTCATCTTGGGGAGGTGGGTGGAGGAGCAGGAGCAAGTGAGGGCGTCGCTGTCCACTATGAAAAAGACAGGCTCCACACATTTCAGGGCAGTTCTTGAGTCTCCCAAATCTCATGAGCACTTGAGACTGCTTTTCTAGAACCTACCCTTAATAAAGCAATACGGGACAGGCACGGTGGTTCACACCGATGATCCTAGCAGTTTGGGAGGCCGAGGTGAGAGAACTGCCTGAGCCCATGAGTTTGAGACCAGCCTGGGCAACTTGGCGAGACCTCATCTCTACAATCAATAAAAAATAAAATAAAATAAAATAAAATAAAAAAAAGCCGGGCATGGTAGAGTGCGCCTGTAGTTCCAGCTACTTGGAAGGCTGAGACAAAGGATCTCCTGAGCCCAGCAGGTCGAGGCTGCGGTGGCCATGAGCATGCCACTGCACTCCAACGATAGAGTGAGACTCCAACTCAAAAAAATTAAAAAATAAAAAATAATAATAATAAAAACAAAGCAATACTGCAGCTGGGCACAATGGCTCATGCCTATAATCCCACATTTTGAAAGGCCAAGGTAAGAGGATTCCCTGAACCCACAGGTTCGAGACCAGTCTGGGCAACATGGCGAGACCTCATCGCCACAATAAATCAAATCAAAAAACTACCCAGGTGTGGTGGCACATGCCTGTAGTTCCAGCTACTTGGAAGGCTAAGGAGGAAGGATCGCCTGAGACCTGCAGGTTGAGGCTGTGGTGGCCATGAGTGTGCTACTGCCCTCCAGTCTGGGAGACAGAGTGAGACTCCGACTCAAAAATAAATAAATAAAGCAATACTGTTAGAAAATTTTCTGTAGACACTGGCTACAAGTGTCCACAAAGCACCCAAAATGTAGCTGGTTAACCAAGGAGTTGAATTTTTAATTTTTCTCCATTTTATTTAAATTAATTTAAGTAGTCCCATGTGGTTAGAAGACAAATTATGACTCTTTTCTCTGGTCATTACTTTGGTCAGCAGTGTGGACTGGGTGGGGCCTCGGAGCCTTTTGTGAGGAGCAGGAAGCAGAGCTTCCAGGCTCCATCGGGTCCTAAGCCCTCCCTGTGAGCTACACACTCTGCACACGCAGACAAGGAGACAAGACAGCTGGGAGTCAAGCGCCATGGGGTACTCTGGACCAAGAGTGTACACATGTGCCATGCGTCAAGGCGTCATGGGGCCTGGTCCTGAAGAACTAGCATGCAGACCTCATGGGCGCCAAGGACATCCCCTGTTCACCACAGCCCCTCACACACTGCCTGACCTATCATAAGTGCCAAATACAAACCTATTATGGGATGAAGTGGCAGATCTTTACCAAGGGAGGATTCTAGAGAAATGAAATACACCCCCACCCATACACGTACGGCTATGGACCCAGCAAGGCTTCTGCATGAGCTCTGAAGGGGTGTCGTGGGAACATCAAGTCTGTGCTATGGCCAGAGGACAGAGAAGGACCCAGACAGTACATGTGGCGAGGCGAGGCTAGGGCCGGGCACTGAAAAAGCCTCTCTCAATGGCGTGCTTTGAAAAAACTCAGGGTGGAGGCTGCATTCGTTCAGAGATACCATAAACCAGTGGTCTCAAACTCCAATATTCTAGGACCCAGGCAGGGAACCAAAGAGTGTAATTCATAGGATGTAGCACAGCAGGGAACCACGTGGCACTGCAGAGTCCTGGCCGCACACAACAGTGACAACAGGTACCTTAATGGGGTCCACCAGTTCCAGGGCAGGGACGACAGTCTCGGCAGCCACTTTGGCAGGAATCAGAGTCTGCATGGGCATTTCCTTCACCTCATCACAGAACCCAACCATCCCACAAATCTCCCTGGGTTGCTGTAGAGAGCAAAGAACACACAGTGAGAAGCAGGCCAGCGCCCAATGCCCCGCAGGCCCGTTCCCTGTACACACTGGTTAGGGTGCTGGAAGCACCCTGGTCCTAGTGTCAAGATGACCCTCTGCCAAGACAGGCAGATTCCAGATTCAATGTCAAAGGGCTCGTGTGCAAAGGCAGAGCGTGTGTGCCAGTTATATCTGGGAGGGGAGGCCACACAGGCTCTGAAGGGACAGCAAACAGAGCCACAGTCTCTGCTGCTCCATCCGGGGCCACCATGGGGAAGGGAGATGCCCCAGCACCTCAAATCTCCAGGGACACCTGGTCTGCTCTAGAATGTATTTTTCAGGTCACTCTCAGTAGGAAGCAAGCTATATGTTCCTTCTAGAAGGGGAATCACCATGCCCATAAACAGAAAGCCAAATGTGTTCAAAATAAAACCACGCCGGATCTTTCTGTGCCAAGACCATGTAAAATGATGCATTAAGGGGAAATGCTGACTTAAAAAAATATATTCTGTGAAAATTCTCTGAACACCATGAACATTCCATGTTCACAACTGTACACAGTACACATAAAAACCCAACCCTCAAGTTGAGGAATCACTTCAAGCCTCAAGGTCTCCAGAGTGATCCCCTTTCACCATCTAGACACCAAACCACAGAGAACTAGACGGTTTGGACTTCTTGACCATTCTACTACAAAGGCTGAGAGCAAGTCAAGTATACAAACTCTGTATACTGTGTACATCAGATGCAACCAGCAGCCAGGTCTGAACCTGACAGTATTTGCCTCACCACCAAACTCTAAAGCAGTGGGATCAGGAGTGCTAACGAGTTGTTAAGGAAGAGAGCTATGCCGTGCCCCGGTGCATCTTGTTTTAATGCCAAGGCTCTATAATTAAGTAAGGTTGAGGGAGCCTTAAAAGTAGATCCCAAACACCCTGTCTTCGGCATGCCTTAAGAATGGGGGACAAAATCAGAATGTGGCTGAAGATACAGCAAGCTTTTTAGGAAAAAGATGCCAAGATACAGGAGATGAATGACAGCTTTGTTCTAACTCCTTGAGGAGGCCAAGGTGAAAATGCAGGCATTTCAACCAAAGTCCTCTCCCATTAGACTTCAAAAGACCTTCAAAAACATCTGCAACTCTAACTCTGGAGAACAGATGCCAATGTTCAGAAGGGGGCAATGCTCGGCATGGCCCCAGAGGGAGCACTGGCTTAGAGCAAGTATGGAGGTAGGAGTCAATGCCAGCAGGGTGCCATCTGATGTTGATGTGGCTTTAGAGCCCAAAGGACTCTGTCACTCAGAGGGGAAGAAGTCACAATCAAGAGATTGTTTCCAACTCTCTGGATCCAACAGCTGGGAACAGTCTGCCAGCTGTTTGCAAATGATTTGCTCATGCAGCAGAAGCATTTCTGGGGTTATGAAAAACAGCACTAAAGACATGCATTGCCTACATGCGTTGTGACAGACACAAGGTGTCCTAGGGGATGTCGGGCCTACAGCAATGGAAGCTGAGGCACCTCAGGGCCACCCATGGTTCCCCACTGTCACTGGTGGCCTGCATGTATGCATGCTGTGTGTTGATTCTGACCAGAAAGCAAGACTCTGTTGGCTTCGTTTTTCTGACCCCCTGAAGGGCAGATGAGACCCCCAACACCTCAAGTGCTGAATCACAGGGGAAAGAAGAAGCTCTCCCCAGACTATTAACAGAGAGGGACCCTGCCTCTTGCAACCATTCCTTGTATCTGTCAGAGTTAATCATGTCATACCAAAAAAAAAAAGCAAGGTAACTAGAAAAAGCAGCAGATCACTACTACAAGCAAATTCCAACACATACCTGATCCTGCTGTTGAACAAAAAAACAGGAAATCGGAGATGGAAATAAAAGGAAAGGACACAACAGTTAAGAAAAATTAAAATAACAATCAAGCAGTTAATCAGGTGTAAGGATGTCACAAGAAACTTAGGAGAAATGCTCTAGAGGTCAGACCTTAGCAACCTACTTTGTTTCTACTCTCCTGGACAAGGGGGCCCTGAAAGCTACTAGACCCTCCAGGGATAAGACCACTTGAGCCTGGTCCAGCTAGTGTGTATGCTGGCCCCCCACCTGACACACTAAATCATGTTCAAAACCCTGTGCGGCAAGTCCCCCAGAAAACAACACTTTGCTGGGCGCGGTGGCTCAAGCCTATAATCCCAGTACTTTGAGAGGCTGAGGCAAAAGGACTGCCTGTGCCTAGGGGTTCAAGACCAGCCTGGGCAACTTGGCGAGACTTCATCCCTACAATAAATCAAAAAATTAGCCGGGCGTGGTAGCGCACACCTATAGTTCCAGCGACTTGGAAAGCTGAGGCAGAAGGACTGTCTGAGCCCAACAGGTTGAGACTGTGGTAGGCAAGAGCATGGGCAACAGAGTGAGACTCCAACTCAAGAAAAATAAAAATCCAATACTTTATAAAGGTTCTCCATCCCCAGAAGCCTAATCTCACCAGGCTGCAGGGCTGCCCAAATAAGGGGGTGTGTGTTATAAAACACACGCTGAGGGCTCAGGGATCCTGAACCAGACTATCCACTGCCCAGGCCTCATGGCAATCTTCCCTAGGAGGTCAACAACACAAGCCTGGAAGGCCAATTTGACAACAGGCCAAAAGCCATGTGCTCTGATTCAGCAATTCCAGCTTTAGTTCTCTACACTAAGGGGAAAAAAAACAGGAGTGTGCACCCCCAAAGGCAACTGTGAAAACCACCTAGACACCCAACCATGAGGCCTGGTTACTAAATTATGTTTTATGCACATTGTTGGTTATTATGTAGCCACTTAATTATGTGTACGAGGATATTTAATGACCAATGTATTTTTAGGGAAAATACAAAGTAGTATATAAAACATGACCCCACTGATGTCTTTTGAAACCCCAAGTGATTTTTGACATGAGACGTCTTAATCGTATTTTCAAAAAATTTCTACATGGTATAACTTTTATGAATAGAAAAATATTTAAGGTAGTTCTAAGGAAGCAAGTCACATGGCTTTTTTAACTTACTGCAGGTACATGTCTTTGTAAACTGCCTTAAACTGTGTTTAGAACAAAGTAGGGTATAAGCCAGACACAGTGGCTCATGCCTGCAATCCCAGCACTTTGGGAGGCGGAGGCAAGAGGATTGCCTGAGCCCAGGGGTTCAAGACCAGTCTGGACAACTTGGCAAGACCTCGTTTCTACAATAAAACTTAGCTGGGCATGGTGGCGTACGCCTACAGTTCCAGCTACTTGAAGGAGTGAGGTGGAAGGATCGCCTGAGCCCAGCAGACTGAGGTTTTGGTGGCCGTGAGCGTGCCACTGCACTCCAGCCTGGGCAACAGAGAGACTCTAACCCAAAAATAAGAAAAGAAAAATATGACTCATAATCCCAAATAAACTATTGCTCCTTGACAGCCAACTTGAGTTGGCTAGAGCAGGGCCAGAGAGTAAATCTTTTATTTTAGGCTTCCCAAGCCTTAAGGTTTCAGCTGCAACTCAACTGGGTTATTGTAGCACAAATTGGGAGTCACTGTGATTCATTATTTACAAAACAGGTGGTGGGCCACAGTTTGCTGACCCTTGGATTAGAGAACAAACTCAAGACTGTATGTTAATCTCAAGGAAGTCAGAAGGTCCTCCTGACAGAGAAGGAAAAGGCGCCTCCCACCCCTGGCCCTGTCAGGTAGAAGACGTAAGGAGGTCAGGAGGTCGGTGCCCGTTCCCAGTGTGCGAGTGCCTTCGGGCCACCCTGCTCTGCAGACAGTCTCCTGCCCGGGCTGGCTGGCTCATTTCTCCACCTCTAAGGAAGGAGTGTCCCTAACCTGGATGCAACAGAAGCCAGTGCAGGAGGTATGGGCTCAGGCAGCAGCTACAGTCAACACTGCTGCAGTGCAGAGGACCAACTCAGGGGGCAGTATCCCCCAACTCGAGTGCAACACAGCAATTTTCAGCCCGGCTGAGTTACAGAGCACACTATTTCTATGGACCCTAGGGTTAAAGCCAGATCTAGAAATCTGATGGCCAGCTGCATATGCAGAGACAAACCAACTGCCAGGCAGCTGCCAGAGCAGCAGGATGCTTCCGCCTTTCCCCAGGCAGAGGGAGGGACTGAGACTACCCAGGGAGAGTCCACCACCCAGAAGGCTCATGTGGCCCAACTCAATATTCCAAGGTAAAAAGGGGAACTAAACCATGTAATTTGTCAAATTCATGGAGATGACAAAATGTGAAAACTGCTAACAAGAGGCTTTCAGGGCCACCTACCATATGCATCAGCATCTGGATAGCAATTTCAGAATACTGGTTGATGTAGTTCTTGCACTACAGAGAAGAGAAACAGATTGTTAGTTAAACTCATCACTGCAACGGTGCACCAAAACAAACACAAAACAAACAAAAAACCCCAGGTTTTCCAACAGTATCAACTGGTGACTATCAAACAAGTTTCCAAGAGTAAAATATTGTAAATGTCTGCTCTGGGCAACTTTAAATAAGATGAAAACAACAATTTGGTTATTCTGCAATTCACAGGAAATATGTGCAACTGATGTCTTGAAAATATTCACCAAGGAGCCTCAGCAATTCCATTTTCCCATTTCCTTTATTCTATGGCCCAAACCTGCCCCCAGGTCCTACAGCAACTGCTCAGTGGCAATTTAGAGAACGTGGCTAAGGGGTATCCTGCTTAGGAAGCAGAGATTACCATTCTAAACAGCAGACATTCTCAGATAGATTATAAAGTCTAAGTCCAGTAGATTCAAGTTATAATGATTTTTAACTGCCTATTTTCATGCAAATCTAGATGTTTCCTGTAGACCCTCAGAGATGACTCTTGTCATAACTGGGTTGCTTCTCCAGTGAGCAAACCAAGGGTAATACAACAGTCCTCAGGGAGGGTTCAATTGGGAAACCAATTAAAATAGTGATCTGAAAAGACACTTAAAATGAGGCTACCAGCTTCCCAGGCTTTTTTTTTTTTTTCTGAGCAAACGTTCGTTATGCAGGTACCTGTGTTGATGAGGTATGTGCACCTCCCCCCTCAGATTCCCACTACTGCCAATCCCTCCAGGCTTTCAAGATAAATATGTGTTAACCTGATTGACATTCTTGGAGAAAACCTCATCTCCTAGGGCCAGTCATTCCCACCCAGGAAGACCACAGTAGATCCCAGAGCACAGAGTTATTACATGCCAGTCTGGCAGGTTTTTTTGGTTGTCGGGTACTAGGCTGGCATTTTGGCTTTACACATCCAGTTAATGAATGTGGTTAACAATGCTAGACAAGGGTCCAAGAAATGAAACCAACTAAGAGGTCACCAAAATGAGTTTCTCAGTCAACAGGACTAAGGGGGGCTTCCAGGTGATCCTCTGGCAACCCCTACATGGCCTCCCTAAGGCTGACAACCACACTCGCCGCAGGAGCACACCTGGAAGTCTGAATCTCACATACGGTCACCAGGCTTTTCAAGACAAGTTTATAAGGGGTTCTGAGGTGTTCCTATTACATCTGTGACTGGGAGGCAGAAATACTTTCACAAAAGTGGTTTCCTTCCGCTCATTTGCCCCCAGAGTTTTCTTACATATCCAGATTCAGTTAACAAAAATAAATACTCCCCACTACCTATTCCAGCTGCTTTCTGGGAAAAAGGACAAGAGTGGTTGTCTTCTTCTCAGCCATTTGACTGGTACCACGGGAAATGAACTGTTACCTTTTCTTGGTTCCGCCACTCCTGTCTCTAGAGCCCACCTCCCAGGCCCAGAATATTCTCAGACGAGGCTCACCATGTCAGCCATGCCAGGCCCCAGACGGTCACACTGCTCCCTGGCATGATCCACCAAGGCTTCGACAAAGGTAGAATTAGTCCTTACAGCATTCTGGATGTCAGTCACCATCTGAATGCAGTCCTGGCAGACATCCCCATCAGCCTACAGGGAAGGGGCAGTTAGCCTGGCAACACTGTGAAGAGGATTCATAATCCTAGGAAAATGTCCATATACACTCATGGCCACCAGCCCTGGGGGGACTTACTGAACAGTTCCTAATGTGCTTTACAGGCTCTAAAATTACCAATAAGGGCTGGGCACAGTGGCTCATGCTTATAATCCCAGTACTTTGGGAGGCTGAGGTGGGCAGATTGCTTGAGCCCAGGAGTTTGAGACTAGCCTGAGCAACACAGCAAGACCTGTGTATACAAAGAAAAGTAAAAAAAAAAAAAAAGTACAGGGCATGGTGGTACATGCCTGTAGTCCTGCTACTCAGTATGCTAAGGTGGAAGGATCACCTGAGCCTAAGAGGTCGAGGCCGCCATGAGCCACCATCATTATATCATCCCACTGCACTCCAGCCTGGGCAACAGACTGAGATCCCAACTCAAAAAAATTTTTAAATGGCCTGGTGTGGTGGTTCAAGTCTGTAATTCCAGCACTTTGAGAGGCCGAGGTAAGAGGACTGCCTGAGCTCAGGGTTTGAGACCAGCCTGAGCAACTTGGTGAGACCTCACCTCTACAATAAATCAAAAAATTAGCTGGGCATGGTAGCACACACCTGTAGTTCCAGCTACTTGGAAGGCTGAGGCAGAAGGATACCTGAGCCCAGCAGGTCGAGGATGCAGTGACCGTGAGCGTGCCACTGCACTCCAGCCAGGATGACAAAATGAGACTCCAACTCAAAAATAAAAATTAAAAAAATTTAAAATTACCAATAGGCTTAAAATCAATTAGGTGTTCATTACAGTAACAGTATAGTACTTTAGAAGTTCCACAGTACAGTCATTTGAAGCCTGGCTCACATAACTGCAGAGTCAAGAGAGTTTAAGAACCAAGGAAGCACCCTGCTTGCCCCTTTCTTCTCCAAAGCAACCAAACATGGGATCCTCAGCGGCTGGGCCGCTGCTTTACCTTCGGCTGAGGCTTGCTGCGGGGGCTGTCCTGAGGGTAGAGGAGGAGGGGGATGTTGGCCATGAAGGGAGCCACCACCTCGGTCATGTCCACTTCTGGGATCTTGTTGGACTCGAGCTGCTTCTGGTGGTTTAGCTCTGCCAGGTGCTTCTGGAGAGACTTGCAGAAGCCCATGGCGGAGCACACCTCCCCGGGATTGCTCTGGGGGTGAAAGAAGCCCAGCTGAAAACCCTCCCGGAGGAAACAACACAGACAACCTGGTGCCCCTGACTTGGTCCCTCTCCTTAAATCCCTTAAAAAGAAAGGTAAAACGTTGTTCAAGTTCAAACTGCTCAGCATGCAGAGAACACCAAAGTTACAATCCGTGTGGTCCACTACACAGCAACCTCTCAGCTTCTGATCTGCTTTAGAGGAATACCAGCTTCTGGTGGGAGGAGAAGGGTGGCAATTCCTCCTCCAACAAACACAAATCCCCTGGCTGTAAACACCTTCCCTATGCTGATGGCTCAAGTTTTTACCTCTTACCTTGACACACATGCACATGTCCATCTCACAGACATCTCAAATTTACCTGAGTCCACCCCACCAAGCCTGTTCCTCCTCCATCTCCACTTTAGCAAATGGTTCCTCCATCACTTTCCCAGAAGCCTGGAAGACATTCCTAACTCTCCTCTCCTTACAGCCCCTCCATGAGCAAGTCCAGTCTGTATGTCCTCCAAAACAGAATTTGCATCTATCATCTTCACTATTCTCATCACGTCTCCCTCACAGCAATGAACCCCTGAGGATCCTGCCAGAGTCCCCTTCATCATTCCCATCCACTGAACCATCTGACGTATGCTCCTATGGCCACGACACTCCCAGGGCTTCCTGCTGCTCCTGCAACCCTTGAACACAGCCTGGAGGGCCTTGCGTGACATAACCCTGCCTTCCTCGACAAAACCTGGGTCCTGTCTCGGGACACTCCTACCCCACTGGCCCTCTTCCATCATTCAAACACCTCTTCTTTCTTAGGATGTTTCTAATTCCACAGAGCCAGCTCCCTGTACGTTGCTGAAAACCTAGTCTCCGGCAGTTTGTGTACAATACATACTTGCCAAATGAAAGATAAGCAGCCTTGTAGTAAACCTCCAAGGATATTCCCTAATTTTCCCTCAATTATGAATTCACATAAACCCACAGAAATGAAGTTATTTGCTTGTTCAACGGATCAATTAGAGGTCTGACATGATCTACCCAATGAACATCTGTCAGTGTTACGCCGACTTCTAGTCCTTCTGCAATCCTACCAGTCCCTTACATACCACACCTCACCAACCCCAGCACACCCCAAGCAGAGTAGCCTGCTGTGCCATGGCTCTTTGGGACATCAAACTGCAGAAAAGCACAGCAAAGCTTCCATCTTAACCACTCTACTCTGGCTGGTGCATCCGTGGGCCCCAGAAATTCCTGGGAGGGAGAGCCTCTTCCCTGCCACTTACGATCTGTCCTTTAATCATGTCCAGGATAACGGGCAGGTAGGAGTCCACAGTTTCCTTGCACGAGGCAGACATGTTAGGCTTGGGGAGCCAGTCACAGGTCTTCTCCAGGCACACAAGCATCTCCTCCTGGAGACACAAAGGCCAGGGTCAGAACCGGGATGGCTTCCTCCCTGCACTGCGGGGACAGTAAGCCCTCTGCGACTCCCAGAAAAAGCAAGCCTGGCAAACTGCCAACCCTCAGAGAATAGGACCCATAGAGGGCCAGAGGCTACCTATGGCTCCTATGGCTCCCTCAGATCAGTTAAGCAAAAGCAGACATGAGAGAAGATCCTCTGGTCTGCAGTCTCACAGGCACAGGGAATTTTAAGCAGAGACAATAAACTGGACCTAGATGTTAGTGGCATACAGTATAAAATCCCAGGCCAGGCGAAGTGGCTCACACCTGTAATCCCAGTATTTTGGGAGCCAGAAGTGAGAGGACTGCCTGAGCCCAGGGGTTAGAGACCAGCCTGGGCAACTTAGCAAGACCTCATCTCTACAATAAATCAAAAAAATTAGCCGGGTGTGGTGGTGCACACCTGTAGTCCCAGCTACTTGGAAGGCTGAGGCAGAAGGATTGCCTAAGCCCAGCAGGCTGAGGTCACAGAAGCCGTGACTATGCCACTGCATTCCAGCCTGGATGATAGAGTAAGACTCTGATGCAAAATAAATAAATAAATTAAATTAAATTAAAATAAAATCCCAATTAACTTTGGGCATTTAATACTTAGTCCAAGGCCGGGCTCAGTGGCTCAGTCTGTAATGCCAGTACTTTGGGAGGCCGAGATGAGTGGATTGCCTGAGCCCGTGGGTTCGAGACCCGCCCAGGCAACTTGGCGAGACCTCATCTCTACAATAAATCAAAAATTAGCCGGGCGTGGTGGCGTGCACCTTGGAAGGCTGAGGCGGAAGGATCACCAGAGCCTGGCAGGTCGAAGCTGCGGTGGCCAGGAGCGTGCCACTGCACTCCGGTCTGGGCGACAGAGTGAGACTCCAACTCAAAAAAAAAAAAGTACTTAGTCCAGGGGTCAACAAGGTAGGCCCTTCTGCCTATTTCTCTATAGCCCACAACTATGAATGATTTCTACATTTTTTAAGCATATCTTAAAGAGACTGTGTCAGAGAGAGGATATGGCCCAAAGACCTAAAATATTTTCTCCCTGGCCCTTTGCAGAAGTCATTTGTGTCTCCCAAGCCTAGACTACTCTTGAGGCCCTCAGAGGCAAAGTGCTCTTAAGGAACCAGTGTGTGTGCCCGTTGCCCCCCTTCACAGTCCCTCACCTCGGTGGCGTTGTCTTTTAGCATGTTGCCAACTGCAGTGACGACATCTTTGCATATGTCACAGGGAAGGGATTTCTAAGGAAAAAACATAAGGGAGAGAGATCTGTACCTGTAGGACACAATGCACACCCCACACGGCGGAAAACTCCCATGGTCAAAGACCACCTTCCATGGTGTGTCCTAGATGGCTGGGACAGGAAGCAGGCACCAGGCAGATGCCAGTGCCTCTGCATTCACCCTGAGCTGCTTACCTGCACTCTCTCTACCTTCCACCTCTCAGTCAAGTGAAGGACATAGTCACTCCAAAGCCAGTCATCAGGGCCCCACTTGGCCCAGAGGCCACGGAAATTCTAACCAGTTCTCACAGCTCTTGCACAGCTCGCTTCTTGACGTCAACACTATGGACCCACAGAGAAGAAACTAACATGTCTGAGTGACATGAAGGGACTCTTGGGGGAACTTAGTAGCATTTACAGAAATCAATCTGAACCTTTAGACCTAGTTGGCTAATACAGTTGTCCTCTGGTACCTGCAGGGGTATCTGAGGACTCCCATGGATATCCAAATTCCAGAATGCTCAAGTCCCCAGTCACCCTCCACATCTGTGGATAGAGAAGGCTGGTTGGACTGCACCTGGGGTCATACCAAGAGAGGGCCAGGCCACAAGACCATCCAATCACAGTTTCAAAGTCCTCAACTCATTCAACTTGGAAGGAGGAAGCAGTACTGAAAACAAGATTGAAGGTAGCCACTATTTCATTAAGCACTGGCCAGACCATGTATTCGTTGAGCTATGGCCTCCATGTTTTCTTCACTTTGGCCCCCTCCTCTACCTTGGGGAGGTGAATCCTCTCTCTTTCTCTCTAATTTACTTTCTAAACAAACTTTGTTTGAAAACTTAAAAAAAAAAAAAAGACTGAGGGCAACCTCAAGATTGAGAACTCAAATCTGGGCCAGGTGTGGTGGCTCATTCCTATATTGCTATCACTTTGGGAGGTGGAGATGAGAGGATTACCTGAGCCCAGGGGTTTGAGAACAGCCTAGGCAACTTGGCAAGACCTTGTCTCTACAATAAATCAAAAAATTAGCTAGGCACGGTGGTGCATGCCTATGGTTCCAGTTACTTGGAAAGTTGAGGCAGAAGAATCACCAGAGCCCAGCAGGTTGAGGCTGCACTGGCCATGAGCATACCACTGCACTCTAGTCTGGGGGACAGAACGAGACTCCAACTCAAAAAAACAAAACCAAATCTGAAGACAGTTTTGGCTAGAAGGCAGTTTTCCAGTGAATAATTCCAAAACTATTCCTAAAAGGGGTATTATTTAAGCTTTCTTCTCTTACTAAAGAAGTTGCTGAGTGTTGGGAATTGGCACTGCAAACTCACTGGCCATTATCTAGGGAAGGGGGAGCTGCAGAGGCCAGAAAGCAGCTGGGAGCACACAGGGCAGCAGGCCTGGAAGACCTCGTCCCATCTGCCACCAAGAGACAGGTAGCCTCCATTACATCTCTGAGCCTCCATTTCCTCTGCGGTAAGTGGGTACACCCGCCCACAGGCCATGCCTCCTACACAGGTTCACAATAAAGACTAAACAAAACCAGGCAAGAGCAAGCACTCTGCCAATCCAGCAGTGAGTTCTGCTATCAGGGGACCCCAAGGAGCGCGGGGGCTGGAGTGTGGCGGGTGCTCACCACCGTGGGCTTATTCCAGACGGTCTGCAGGCAGTGCTTCACGGCCCCGCAGTCAGCCGCCGTCTTCACGTTCTGGCACCACACTGCCGAGCCTCTCGTGCATTCCTTCAGACCAAGGACTGGGCCTGCGAAGGCTGAAAGGAAAGCTGACGTGAGAAGATGGCCTGCTTTCTGGCAGGCCAGGTCCACCTCACTTATCTCCCTAGGGCCGGGGGGCAGCCCTGCCAGGGCAGTAGGACACTCTCACTCGGCCCTCCACACAGCATCTGAAAACTCCAGTCACACAGCCACATGCCTGTCCAGTCCAAGAAGCCGGCTGTCATTGTCACAGGGCTGGAAGGAACTGATTTATCTGCTTCACTTTTATCCCCTCCAACTATTTTTGAACAGTATTAGGACGTTAAATCTTTATAAACCTAAAAAGTTTCCATAAGTAATGAAAGAAATCACAGGAGAAAAGACTGACAGATTTAAATAGGGAAGATTTTAACTTCCGAAGAATGAGTAACAGCTGCAGAACAAAGGGTTTTGCAGGGCATGGTGGTTCATGCTTGTAATCCCAGCAAGGCAAGAGCACTGAGCCCAGAGGTTCGAGACCAGCCTAGGCAACTTGGCGAGACCTCATCTCCACAATAAATCAAAAAATTAGCCGGTCGTGGTGGCACGTGCCTGTAGTTCCAGACGGTCTGCAGGCAGTGCTTCATGGCGCCACAGTCAGCCGCCATCTTCATGCTCTCGCACCACACCATCGAGCCTGAAGGCTGAAGCAGAAGGGCCCAGCAGGTCAAGGTTGTGGTGGCCGTGAGCATGCCACTGCACTCCAGGCTGAGTGACAGAGTGAGACTCCAACTCAAAACAAAAACAGAAGCAAAACCTGTAGCAAAACCACCACAATTCATACCCCTATTACACCAAGCAATTGATTCTTTAAGTTGTTTAAGCAAAAGAGCACTTTTATAGATCTAATTCTGCTGTGTGAGCCTTTGCATACACACAAGTTTCCTAGCAGAAAATAAGACTCACTAGCCACTTCGACACCACAAAGTGAACATGTGTCCACTCAAAACCAGGTGCATGCCGACCTGTAGAATCCCATGACGGGAAAAACAGAGATAGGTTCCACACCACCTGGGACCAGAGAAACACAGGTTAGAGCAAGGGGCCATATTTTCAAATTTAAGTTAGCCAAGGAGAAACTTCTGTGACAAGTTTGTAACAAAAGATTCATTCTTCCAGGGCTGATGGGTAGTGTGAAGGCTAAGTACTTCTCAAAATGAATGTATTTCAAGGACTGAACAAAAAAATCCCTCTTCCTGGCCGGGTTCGGAGGCTCAGTCTGTAATCCCGCACCTTAGGAAGCCAAGGTGAGTGAATTGCCTGAGCCCGCGGGATCGAGACTCGCCTGGACAACTTGGCAAGACTTCATCTCTACAATAAATCAAAAATCCCTCTTCCAAAAGCAACTCACTTCTACAAAAACCTTAAAGAAACACAGCAATTTAAGAAATAAGATGTGACATGTATAAATATATTTATTGAGTGTAATTTACAATACTAAAAACAAGCAGATATGGCCTGAATGGTCAAAAATAGAGGGGAATGCCTGGTGTGGTGGCTCACACCGGCACCCCCAACACTTTGGAAGGTGTAGGCGAGAGAATTGCCTGAGTCCAGGGGTTTGAGATCAGCCTGGACAACCTGGTAAGACCCCTTCTCTACAATAAACCAAAAATTAACTGGGTGTGGTGGTACACACCTGTAGTTCCAGCTACTTGGAAGACTGAGGTAGAAGGATCGATCACCTGAGACCGGCAGGTAGAGGCTGTGGTGGCCAGAGTGTGCCACTGCACTCCAGCCTGGGTGACTGAGTGAGGCTCCTACTCAAAAAAAAAAAAAAATAGAGGGGGGAAAAAACTAATGATATTGTGCTAAGATACTATTATGTAGTTGCTAAATATACTTACAAAGATGATGTATACCAAATGGGAAAAAAATTCACAAATATTATACAGGAGTTTTATAAAGATCAAAAAGAGAATAAACAAAGCAGGATGGTAGGCTGAATTATTACTTTGTAAACTCCTAATATTATGTTGTATTTGTAGACTTTTTTTTTTTTTTTTTGAGTTGGATTCTCACTATCGCCTAGGCTGGAGTGCAATGGCAGATGGCATAACCATGGCTCACTAAAACCTCAACCTCCTGAGCACAGGCAATCCTCCCTCCTGAGTAGCTGGGGTTACAGACACACCCCACTGTGTGTAGCTAATTGTTTGTTTTTTTTTTTAAGAGATGAGGTCTCCAACTACTGGGCTCAAGCGATTCCCCAGTCTCGGCCTCCCAAAGTGCTGGGATTACAGGCATGAGCCGACTGCATCTGGCTGTGTAGAATTTCGTAAAAAACAGTTTATAGGGCAGGCACGAAAAAGAGATCTATGAGAGCCTAGTGCAGTGGCTCAAGCCTGTAATCCCAGCACTTTGGGAGGACTGCCTGAGCTCAGGGGTTCAAGACCAGCCTGAGCAACATGGTGAGACCTTGTCACTACAATAAATAAAATAAAAAAAAAATTAGCCAGGCGTGGAGGCACATGCCTGTAGTTCCAGCTACTTGAAAGGCTGAGGCAGAAGGATCATCTGAGCCCAGGAGGTCGAGGCTGTGGTGGTTGTGAGTGTGCTACCGCTCTCCAGGCTGGGCTATAGAGTGAGACTCCAACTCAAAAAAAAAAAGAAGTCTATGGTTTCTTTGATTTCTGAAATGAAGAAAAAATTCTGGGATTCACACCTCACCTCCAGTCTGACTATTCAGCTGGGAGGTACAACAGATTCCATCAGATTACACTTAGAGGCTGACTGATGATGGGGGAGGCAAACTCTAGCAGGTGTCACCATGGGGTTGAACCAACTTATGCTGTAAAGAACAGACATTTGGTCCAAGTTAAGGACACCCCACAGTCACCTGAGAACTACATCTAGAACCCTGGGAGTCATGCTGTATGCCGCCTCACCAATAGGGAGGGCTCGGCAAGCCTGCATACGTGTAACATGTAGTCAACACACACGTGGCAGTAGATTGTGTCCCTCCAGGAGAGGGAACATGCTATCATTAATCCTTCCAAAGTTACTCACGCAGAGACAGTCCCCACAAAACTTAAGCCAAATCGCTGCACCCTTTCACCCACCAGCAGATAAATTATTAATCTGCTGCCCAGAAGCCGGGCTCGGTGGCTCATCCTGTAATCCTGCGCCTTTGGGAGGCTGAGGTGAGTGGATTGCCTGAGCCCACGGGTTCGAGACCTGCCTGGACAGGCGAGACATCATCTCTACAATAAATCAAAAAATCAGCCGGGCGTGGTAGCGCGTGCCTGTAGTTCCAGCTACGTGGAAGGCTGAGGCGGAAGGATCGCCAGAGCGCAGCAGGTCGAGGCTGTGGTGGCCGGGAGCAGCCACATGCTCCAGTCTGCACTCCAGGTGACAGAGTGAGACTCCAACTCAAAAAAAAAAAAAAATCTGCCCAGGTTACAGCCTTTCCTGCTCCTTGGGAACAAAATCACAGACAAGGCCAGTCACAATCTCAACTTAACTGGGCGCCCTTTCACAAGCTGTTGGTTTGGACTCTGGTTTCCACAGGAAATCAGGTGTCAGTTCAAATCAGTACGAAGCTCCCCAGATGGCTCTACAAAAGTCTGCTTAACCCATAATGGAACCAAGGTGGGCTGGTGTCAGTCTCAGTTATAGGTCCAGGGAAGAGGGTAGGGGGCAGACACTGAATTGAGAGGATAAGGACTCTGGAGAGTGTGAGGTCACAGGCAGCAGCTCCCACCATGATACGCTGCCCAGTTCCATCTCCAAATTAGGAAGGAACCAGATGATAAATGGGAAGCTACCAAAATGAGGCTTGAGACAACAGGGAAACCAGAAGAGGGTGGACTCTGACATGAGAGCCGGGCCAAGACAGAGGACTCGCTAAGAGGAGAAGAAACCACCACTCCTCATTCTTCCAAAAGCTCAGGCAAATGTAACTTCCATCCAGCTACCAGCTACTTTCTCCACCTTCTCAGTCAGGAACTGGCTGCAAAGGACCAATCAGGCTTGTTTCCGGAACACAATGCACCATCATAAGCCCTTAAAACAAGAAAGCTTTGTAGGCTGTTTATTCCCTCCAGGAATCTGAAACAGTAATCTTTTTATTTTTTTATTTTTGAGTGGGAGTCTCACTCTGTCGCCCAGACTGGAATGCAGCGGCATGCTCCCGGCCACCGCAGCCTCAACCTGCTGGGCTCAGGCGATCCTTCCGCCTCAGCCTTTCAAGTAGCTGGAGCTACAGGTGCATGCCACCACACCCAGTTAATTTTTTGTTTTTTTTTTAATTTACTGCAGAGACAAGGTCTTACTGAGTTGCCCAGGCTGGTCTCGAATTCCTGGGCTCAGGCAATTCTCTCGCCTCCGCCCCCCAAAGTGCTGGGACTACAGGCGTGAACCTGGCTTAACGATCATTTTCAATGCCAGGCTTCTCTAGACTGAAAATAATCTTGGGCAGTCCCTTTTATCTGAGACCAACCCAGCAAATACAAACCTACTGTCACCTCCAGTCCCCAAGATTACTGCTAATCAATGATCTACTGAATGGCAGAAAGATTCTACCTCAGAACTAAAGGCTAAAAGGTTGATGGTTTGACATTAAAAAATAAAAATAAAGAACTAGAGGTAAAAATGTATGAATAGTGGAGAACTTGGTACCCTATAAAGTCATCAGGGTCCAATCTAAAACAAAATCCATGAACACTGAGAAATAAAACTTAAGTTCCAACTCCTAGAACTTCATTTCTTAGCAAATCACTGCCTCCTTCTTCCACCCTAAAGCCAAACATATAGGCTATTGCTTTGCTAAGCTCTGGTCTGGTCACATGGTTCTTTGAGCTATGTCCACCATGTTTTCCTAAGCTTTGGCCGCCTCACCTACCTTGGGGAGGTGAATCTCCTCTCCAATTTATTTTCTAAATAAACTATATTTTCCAATCTGAAGAAAAAAGCCAAACATATAAAGGTCCATGGTGTAACATGTCTGTGGTGTACAGCAAATGTGATTTCCCAGGATGAGGCGACATATTAACAGAAGCGATGGCATGTCCTCAGG